AAACAATTTATCTCCCTTAATGCTCATGAATTGTTTTCTAAATTACTGTGCTGCCTCCCTTAAGAGAAAGGTAGACGTGGATAAATGTGAGCTGAATTTATCTTTGTCTCAACTTCACATCCACTACCATTGTATAATGAATATTTATTAACGTGCATTTTCATATTAAAACGTCGCACTGTTCGAAGTGATAGAGAGCACAAAATGAATTATTGCATACAAGAACTGTAGCTAAACTTTATGCAATATTCCACTTATCATATTTCTGAATAGGTATGAATATCGGTACTTCTGAAATAATAAAATGGGCACGATTCAAATACAAGTTTGAGAAAATATTATTCATAAATTGCAATAGGATTTTATTACATTGCTGAAAGTTTAGAGCTAAAAGGTTGTTTTAATACTGTTCGCGCCTTATGTAAATTTTGATTTTGTTCCCTGCAAGAGGGCGCCTGCGAGCGCCGAACTACTTGTATATCTATTGTACGAACTTGTTCTTCACACAGTCTAATAAACGCAGTAACGAACGTTTGTGTCTACTTTCCATCCGCTAACATGGTCCGTCGTGAGCCAGCGCATTTCTTTGGATGATGTGTCAAGACAATTTTTAACGTTCTGGTATAGAAGGACATTTCGTGCAGGGAAAACGGATTTATATTTTGTCTGGATTGTGAAAACAGCGGCAGGAATATGGAGTCGATTTTAAAGCAAAAGCGAATCATTAAGGGTAAGTTGACTCGTTTAATTTCACAAGTAAATAGTTTACAAAATCAAGAAAATTCTTTTTCTGCCATTGAAGTGTACGAAAATGATGTTGGTGCATTAAGTGTTGAAGTGAACTGTTTAAACGATAACATTCTTGGTACTTGTTCTGACGCAGAGTTTAGTAAATATGAAATAGAAATGAATGAACTATTTTCCAAATTAGATGTATTAAAAATTACTTTAAAGGAAGAATCAAGAAAACTTAGAAATTCAGGCAAAGATATAATAAATGCTAATGCAAACGGCTTGAAACTTCCTCGCGTGGAATTGCCAGTGTTTACTTCTAATTATGTTGATTGGATATCATTCAGGGATTTATTTCTTGCCAGTGTTGGAAATAATAGTACATTAAGTGACAGTCAAAAATTGCAATATCTTAAGCTTTCTGTGAAAGGTGAAGCTGCTGTTTTACTACAAGTCAGTTCAAATTTCAAACGCGAATTATGAAAAGGCATGGGAAGCGCTTACTGAACGTTATGAAAACGAAATAGAAATAATAAACGCAGCATTAAATAAATTAACTTCACAACCTGTTCTAAAACATGAATCAGCTTCAGGTTTGCGGAGATTAATTGATACAACACAACAGTGTATTGATACATTAAAAATCCTTAAACAGCCGGTAGAGCATTGGGATACTATGATTATTTTTCTGTTAAAAGGAAAACTTGATCATGAAACACTAAAAGAGTGGACGATAGAGCATTCGAACAAGAAAATTTCTGCTTTCGCTGAATTCAAGCGTTTTATTTTAAACAGAGCGAATGCTATTGCCTCTTTGGCGAAGTGCCAGAGGGAGAAGGCAGTTTTGCCTTCTGAAATTAAAACTCGCGGTTCAGGTAGCAGATACGCTTTTTCGTCCCAACTTGTGGCTAATGTGTGCGTTCATTTCATTGTAAGAGTAATTCTCATTCTTCTCAGTTATTTAAATGTGATAGTTTTTTAGAACTCCCTATCAAAGAAAAATGGGATATTATTAAAAGGAATAAATTATGTGCTAATTGTTTGAAAGATAGTAAAACGCATCCCATTTTTAAATGTCGTGCAGGAATGTGTAAATATTGTTCAAAGCCACATAATACAGTGTTATGTTCGAAAAATTCAAATGATGAAAAATGTCATATACCCATGGAACACGGAACTTCTGCTATTAGTAGCAATAACGCCACGGTGCCTGTTGCGCAAGCAGTTTTATTGCCTACTGCGGTTGTTTATGTTAAAGATATTAATGGCGATTTACAAAAATGCAGGATGCTAATTGATTCAGGTAGCCAGGGCTCATTTATTCGAGAGCACTGTGTAAATTTACTGCAGCTAAAGCGCACTAGTGCAAACATAAGTGTAAATGGCCTGAGCTCGCAAAAAATTGGAAAGGTTTCAGGTTCAGTTCAATTACAAGTAACATCTCCATTTTATAAAAACGCAAGCATTTCAGTTAATGCATTAATTATACCCAAGATCACGTGTGACCTTCCTCAATATCAAGTTGATAGATCTGTTTTGACATCTTTCAAACATTTGTGGTTGGCAGATACAAATTGTTTCCAGCCTGGCCCAATAGATATTCTTTTGGGCGCAGATGTATTTGGCGAGATAATGCTTCATGGACGTTTAACTGTTCCGGGTCATTCGTTAACAGCCTTGGAATCAATATTCGGCTGGGTCATTATCGGAAAGACTAAAAGTGTATCACAAGACAATTGTATCTAATCATGCTAGTTGTACCAATGTTCAGCTCCAGCTTGAAAAATTTTGGAAATTGGAAGAAATTTCGGAGATAAAGCATTACACAGAAGAGGAAATTGAATGTGAAAATCATTTCAAGCGGAATTTTTCTCGTGATTCAACAGGTAGATTTGTTGTTAAGTTTCCATTTCGTAGATCGGGAAATGAACTTGGGTCATCAAGGGATGTTGCTGTACATCGTTTACAAAGCATTGAACGTCAATTTATTAAGAATAAATCTCTTTCCAGTCAATATCACAAATTTATGGAGGACTATCAACAACTTGGTCATATGGAATTGATTCCAGAAAATGAAATTGATGTTCCAGCTAATTCTAGTTTTTACCTTCCGCACCATTCAGTTCCGGATAAAAATGGTGATAAATTTCGAGTGGTATTTGATGGTTCTGCAAAATCTTCTAGCGGTATTTTTCTTAATGAGAAATTGATGGTTGGTCCACAGTTGCAGACTGATCTGACAACATTAATTATTCGTTTCAGAATTCACAGAATAGCTATAACTGCAGACATAGAGAAAATGTACAGACAAATTATACTAAAAGATGCAGACTTTCAGAGAATAGTCTGGCGCGATTCACTTTATAAACCAATTCAGGATTTTCGATTAACTAGGATTGCTTACGGTACTGCATCAGCTTCGTACCTTGCGGTAAGATGTTTACAGCAGTTAGCCATAGATGAAGCAACTAATTTTCCTTTGGCTTCCAAGACATGTCTTAGGGACTTCTACGTTGATGATTTGATGTCCGGAGCCAATTCAGTTACTGAAGCTATAGAATTACAAATGCAATTGAATCAGATGTTGTCACGTGCAGGATTTATTCTAAGAAAATGGGCTTCTAACAGCAAAGAAGTCTTGAATTCAATTAATCCAGATTTGTGCTTATCAAATGTTTCTTTGAACATAGACAATGATGATACTGTAAAAACGTTAGGTATCCTGTGGCATCCAGCTTCAGATATGTTTTTTTATTCAAAGTCAATTCATCATATCCTGAAGTCTTAACCAAACGAACATTACTTTCAATAATCGCAAAGACCTTTGACCCTCTTGGATGGTTGGCACCGATCACGGTTCGGTATAAATTGATTATGCAAAGATTGTGGAAACATCAGTTTCAGTGGGATGAAAAGGTTCCTCCAGATATTGAATGTGAGTGGAAACAACTTACAGAAGATTTGTTATTTCATTAAAAGTATCAAAATTTCACGATTCTTGTTGGTTGAATCAGATAACCAGTTTCAACTGCACGGGTTTTGTGACGCCTCAGAGAAGGCCTACGCCGCTGCAATTTATTATCGTTCTGTGTTAGATATTGGACAAATCAATGTTCAGTTGGTGATAGCCAAAACAACAGTTGCACCACTAAGAAATATATCACTTTCCCGATTGGAACTTTGTGGAGCATTACTGTTGACTAAATTAATGGATTTCACCTGTAGGGCTTTAAATACTCCTATATCGCAAGTTTATTTTCATACTGATTCCACTATTGTATTAGCCTGGATAAGATCTCATGCAAGCCGATGGAAGACCTTCGTCGCCAACAGAGTAGCAAAAATCCAGACTTTATCCTCTCCTGTCCAGTGGCATCATGTGAGTGGAAATGCTAATCCTGCTGATCTTGCAACCCGTGGTGTGTCATCATCTGCACTGGTTACTTCATTGTGGTTACGTGGTCCAGATTTATTGTATAATTTATTTCCTTTTCAGCAAGCATTATCTGCACCACTACTGAATGATTCTGTGCCAGAGCAAAGATGTGCTTTACAGTCTACAACTGCTGCCAGTCACTTGACAGACGCTCATGATTTATTTTATAAATATTCCTCTCTCACTAAACTTAAACGTGTTGTAGCATTATGTCTGAGGTTTGTAAATAACTGTAAAAATTCAGAAGATCAGGTAAGTAACAACTGCTGCATTGTAAATTAACATTCACACTTGACAGACGCTCATGATTTATTTTATAAATATTCCTCTCTCACTAAACTTAAACGTGTTGTAGCATTATGTCTGAGGTTTGTAAATAACTGTAAAAATTCAGAAGATCAGGTAAGTGGATTTTCTAAAAACAAGTGAATTAACTAAAGCTATGCATGTGTTAATTAAATTAATGCAATATGTTGAATTTAAGAATGAAATTAACACTTTAGGCAGAAATCAATCATTATCTGGTACAAGCAAAATTTTATCTTTGAATCCATTTTTAGATAAATTAGGTATTCTCAGGGTGGGCGGTCGCTTGCGACATGCAAACCTTGCATATGGTTTTAGGCATCCAATTTTGCTTCCAAAGAAGCACATTTTAACTCATCTCATTGTTAGACATTACCATGAAAGACTTTTGCATGCAGGTCCACAACTTATGCAATCTTGCATTCAAGAACAATATTGGATCATAAATGGTAGAGCTGTTATCAGAGATTTAGTTAGGAAATGTATAAAGTGTTGCAAAATTAGAGCATCTGTCACTAATCAATTGATGAGCGATTTGCCGTCTAGTCGCGTTTCGCCTGCTCCTGCGTTTTTGCGCTGTGGAGTGGATTACGCAGGTCCTTTTCAAATTAAAGCAAATAAGGGTCGAGGCTCTAGGTCATTCAAGGCATATATAGCTCTATTTGTTTGTTTTACGACAAGAGCTATTCACCTAGAATTAGTGACTGATCTTTCAGCAGATGCTTTTATTGCAGCTCTTAAGAGGTTCATTTCCCGCAGAGGCAAAAGCAGTGATATATATAGCGATTGTGGTTCCAATTTTGTTGGAGCAAAACGCAAACTGATGGAATTTGAAAGGCTTGCTAGGTCTGCAACTTATAACCAAAATGTTAGCAGATATTTGGTTGATAATGGCATTAAATGGCATCTAAACGTTCCAGGTGCGCCACATATGGGTGGACTCTGGGAAGCTGGCATAAAATCAACAAAATACCATTTAAAACGAGTAGTTGGTGAGGCGAGATTGACATATGAAGAATTTGAAACATTTTCTCACACAAATAGAAGCTTGTCTTAATTCGCGACCTTTAACAAGTTTGTCTAATGATCCAAATGACTTGTCAGCATTAACGCCTGGTCATTTTCTTATTGGTAGATCATTAACAAGCATTCCTGAACCAAATTACATTGAAGTTTCCCATCTCACTAGATGGCAACATATTCAAAAAATGGTTCAACAATTTTGGAAGCGTTGGCACAAAGAATATCTGTGTCGATTACAACAAAGACCAAAATGGCTTTTGCCAACTAAAAATCTTCAAGTTAATGATCTGTGTCTCATAAAGGAGGATAACTTACCTCCAACTAAATGGAAAATGGGTAGAATTACTCAGTTACATCCTGGTCTTGATAGTGTTGTTAGGGTTGTGACTATTAAGACTTCAGATGGCATGGTTAAAAGAAATATTACAAAATTGTGTCCATTACCAATTTGAGTTTTAATTCATGTATTATAAATTAAGTATTATATCATAATTTTAATATTGTATTGTGTTTTAAATTTACTGAATTTTAACCACTAAATATTGAAATAGTATTTCAAGGTGGGCGGCATGTTCGCGCCTTATGTAAATTTTGATTTTGTTCCCTGCAAGAGGGCGCCTGCGAGCGCCGAACTACTTGTATATCTATTGTACGAACTTGTTCTTCACACAGTCTAATAAACGCAGTAACGAACGTTTGTGTCTACTTTCCATCCGCTAACAAATACTATTATAATAAACATTGAAAGTTTATTTTTAATCAAGTTGATATGATGGAAATAAGATGGGGTCATGTACTGAAAATATTTCTGTGTTTTCAAGACCAACGTAACTGCTTTAGCTGCCGCATGTCTTAGTTAACTTTCGTAAAATCTTTTACATAAAAATAGGTTAATTTCCTAATGCATTCAAACCTCCATTTTACCAACACTCTATTTTACAAATTCTTCTATTTCGAGAAGCTTTTGGAGAGGTGTACATTTCCTTATATTAAAAAATTCAAAATTATCATAAAAATATCGAAAGAAAAGTCTAACCCTTAAAAGAAAAAGTGCTGATTCTCGACGAAGTGGATGAAGGTGTAAAGAAGAAAGACATTGCCATTGCCCTAAAATTCGGTATTTCGCAAAATTATTATTGGCAATCCTGAAAAATCTGGACAAAAGTTTGCCAAACTTTGATTTTACCTACCGAAGTGTCAAGCGTAAGAACGCTTGCATTTATGAAGATATTGAGGGAGCAACGTTAAAATGGTTGCGTACAGTGACAGAATAAATGTACCCGCATCAAGCCCATCAATACTAGAAAAGCTACGGAGTTTACGAAAGTTTTAGGACAAAATGAATTTCTTGCGAACAACGGTTATAAATTTAAAAAAAGAGCAAAATCATGTTTAGCTAAAGTAAAGATGTTAATGGAAAAAGATTTTTCTTATGAAAAGATCGAAAACTAAAAGAAATCATGTAAATGCGTATACCAAAAGATCTTTAAGGCCGACGAAATCAATTTATTTTAATAGCGGTTACCGCAAAGAATATTGACATTCAGAAAAGAGAAATGTTTTGGAGGCAAGCAGAGCAAAGTCAGAATTATTATACTACTATGTGCACATATGAAAGGAAATAAAATGAAACATGTGTTTATAGGAAAGAAGGAAAATCGAAGATGTTTTAGAGGTATTAAATCAACTGAAGTAGATAATGACTTCAAAACGAGTTCTAGGAAGATCTCAGACATTTTTGAAAAATATTAGATAAATACATGCCTGTACAGAAACGAAAAATTGCTCTAGTGATGGACAGTTATATAGTGCTTATCCTCGAGGTATCAAAGACAAGTATAAAATGTTAATGTTTCTTTTCCTACAAATACCTCTATGAAACTCCAGCCTGTGGATGAAGGAGTGATAAAAAGTGTTAAGACGCAAAATAATTTCGAAGAAGGACCTAATAGAAACTGAAAGTAATCAGTCTTCATGTGTAATAAGTTTATGTGGCTGCGTATCTGAACTTGAAAAAGTATGGAATTATGAAGTCACTGAAAAATTTGTTTGTAATTGTTTAAAAAAGTTGACTTCATCACCAAGATTGATACTATTGATGCATAATAGAGATGTTAGTGACGACGATGGATAAGAGGAGGAGCTAAATAATACGTGGATACAGTTGAAAAATCAAGGAAAATTTAAAAAAATGAAAAATTACAAGGTTATTTATTTACAAATAACGATGTTGAGACCTCAGGCATTTCTATCAACGACAGCATAAAAATAGCAGCCAGAAAGCGATTAACGATGCTGAAGAAAGGAGTGTATAAATTCTTCAGCAGAAGATATGTTATAAATGCGTTTCATATTTTATGATACGGGTTTTCAGTTACAATAATTCAAAACACATAGTAACTGGTTTCACTCCTGCTCAGTCATTTTTTGGGCAAGAACTCAATACACCTTTAGACCTAAATAATGAACCAAATGCAGCAGACAATCCTTCACAATACTTGTTGCATCAAAAGAAACACATTAAAGCCACTAGAGAATTAGTGAAACAAAATGAAGAAAAGTATTTTCAAACTCAAGATAAAAATGTGAAAAGCTGAGAAAGTCCCAAATTTAACATTGGAGACGAAGTATTTTTAAAGGCTTTACAACCACCTCATGCTTTACAGCCAAAATACACTGGTCCTTTCAAAATAGTAAAAATATTTCGAAATTAAAACTATTTAATTCAAAATATCACTGACAACAAAACTCAAAAAATTCATTGTAGTAAATTGTTTAAAAGAGTTCCTCTGAGGTCAAATTAACTAATTAATACCATTGTTTTCATCGAGCCTGTTTTTCTTGTTCACTAAATAAAAAAATTATGTGTACACCACATGACTTCCTTGTACGGAATATTAAATTATGCGCATTTTTTCTTGCATTTAATTTAAACTTATTAGATTGAATTAAACCTACTTCGCCGAGAGCGCGTAAAGCACAATAGAATAAATGCATTCTTTAAAATTCACTTTTTTACCATAGCGACATTCTGGCGCTAGGTTTACTTAACAGTATTATATTTCGTTCATATTATAACTCAGAATGCACAAAATTTATATCATTTAAAGAATTATCTAATAGTTGCCACATGTTCTATTCAAATACTATAATAAAGCTAGAACTATGTGTAAAAGAAATTAAGCAAACAAAACAAAAAAGAAACAGTTTTTACAAAACGATTGAGTATTTCTCATTCAATTAATTCAGTTTTCACTTCGCGACAAGGCAAAAATACATAAAAACTCAAAATATCTGTATTAAAAATTACGAAGTAAATGTTAAACGCTTATTTCCTCGAAAAAATTCCAGAAAGGATTAAGCATGATTTAATTCGCAATAATAAATGTAGGCGTTATCTTTGTTGTTGCGAAGCTGAGTTTCTCTAGATTGGCAACAAATCCGCTATCCTGCTGTTTCAAATGTAAACAAGAGCAATGGTCGCCATCAAAAACATTATTAGGCTTAGCGCAACTTAAACAATTTTAAAATTGTTGATAATTCTAAAACATTGCATACAGATTTACTAAAGGCATAAAAACCTTAACCGGACGAGAAGAACAACATAATTCAATCATTTTTAAAGCAAAAAAATTACAATTTACAAACATATAAGAGTAAAGAGACTGAGATCATTGAGCCGGGTAACAGAGTAGATATATATATAAATATATATCTACATTTTATAGATATATATATAAATATAATATGCTGCCTGAAACCTTTCGAGATTACAATACTTCCTTTCTACTTCGTACAAGGAAATAAAAATGATGCTATTAAAAGTGTTGATAAAATGATATGATTTGAAAATTGTTAATATAGATATATAGTAATCAAGAGTTGTTAGCAACAGTGAAAGATTGTAGGAAATATGAGATGCATTCAGTTACAAATGTAATGTGTCTACAGATTGTAATGAAATTTAGGCTACTGTATGTGAAACATGTATGTATTAGTTCTTAGTTTTAAGTTTTACCTTGACTCACATGTGTAGCAGCTTATCCCCCATTTTTTTTTTTATATTTATGCCAGACAATGAGATTTTGGCTAATTGAATATTTGATCATAATTTGGATTATGCCAGGCAGATATATTCGATTAAGTTAATATGTACTCATTTCAAATGTATACCAAATCTTAAAATTCTGATTTATGTGATTTCAAATATACCAAGTTTCATCTACAAATTGGTGTTGTGCTTCATCAAGGTTTATGATATTTTGAACTGTGCTATGTTCCTTTTTCTTCGGCCGGAGGGAATGTGCAGGCAAGCCTCCACATTATTCAGCGTCAGGTGTGCTAACCGCAACCGCTCAAGGACAACACGAAAGAGATTGCAACAACCGGTTTCTCGCTTCTTCTGCTGCTGGCGTTCGAGGGAGTAGGACGGGCTTCAGTATGTCTTCTCCGTGGCAGATGCGATGCGCCATTTTCCGGCTTCTCTTTGCTGTTCCTTCGATGCTGTCTGCTATACATGAAAATCCTTTTTAGTGAGATTTTTACATGAAGATTCAAGAAAATAATTACTCCTGTTACCTGTACATCGTTGCAGAAAAAAAATTTTGTTCAGCTTCTTCCTCCTTTCGAGAACTCTTCGCACGCACGTGCTTGTGAGATCTGAAATTTCCTGATTTAAAGAAGAAGAAGCAGAAATACCATGATTAATCAAGTACGCTTAATGACTGACATCAAAATTTGATTGTTCCTTTTACACCAAGACTTTGTTTCGAGATGATGGAGAAAGATTGACTTTATTCTGAGTGCAACGTTAATTCTGGTGAGGTGATGCGCATCACTCGTGCTTGATGTTGAAATTTATTCGTCTGTCTGGTTGATAATATTATTTATATTAATGCTTATTTCAACATCAAAGATGAAGAATAAAATATAATTGATTTGGTAACATACAGTTGTCATACTTTGGGGTAAGTACTTTGATTTCGTATTTCCTTCTAGATCACACATTTTGATCTGCACGTTAGTAAGTATTTA